TTCAAAATGAAGCAGGTCATTTTTCCATAAAACCACATCCCCAACAAGAAGTACAAACTTTGCCTCCTCACTAACCAGTGCATACATGGAACTGCCCCAGCTTACCTCAAGGAACTCCTCACACCTCACACCGCCTCCAGAACCCTCCGCTCCACCACCTCCACCCACCGACTGCACCAGCCAAGAGTCAAGCTCTGCACAATGGGAGATAGGCCCCACAACTCTGGAATGGCCTCCCAGAGTCCCTTAGGGTCCCACAGAGTGTGGAGGCGTTCAAAAAAGGCCTCAAGACATTTTTATTTAGAAAAGCCTATGAACATTAGTTAGTATTCTATCTGTGTGGTTTTATGGTTATTTTACTGTTTTGTTTTTACTACGTATGTTATTTTATTGTAATGTCTCATTTTAACTATGTATACTGCTTTTATTGTACGGTTTTGTTTTAACTATGAATTTTGTAGCACTTTGAGATTTTTGTTTTAAATGTAAAGTGCAATACAAATAAAATGTATTATTATTATTATTATGTCATTGCCCTTGAAGTCACACTCGCATGTGTGTAAGGCACTTTGATTGAAGTAGGAGGTATAAATGAGAATGCGATTACCTGTACCGGAAAAGGATAACTGAAATTTCTATGGCAACACAGATGTCTCATGTGCATGGCTAAACTCAAATCTATCTAGACATGCCACACAAACAACACAGTAGAAATCAGAACAACTGGACTGCTGCAGGAATGCAAAGCCATGAGCACCAATAATTCAGTTAATTAAGGAAATATTTTCATTGGCGACAATTTAAGTTGTAGTGAGACGTAAGATGCATGTACTTAAATCATTGCTAATTTCTGTTACACATTTTATTTCATTGCCATTGTTGGAAGATATCATGGTTTGTTTTGTATCTACCTGCCTTACAAATCAAAGTAATTCTTGCTACAAATTTTAGGTTTGTAAGGAGATCTGAAACTGATTTTCATTGTGAGCCTCAGCAAAGATCAATACATAATTAATATATAATTAAAAATGAAGTAAAGGCTTTAGTAATATGTTATTAAAAACAAACATTATTATTTAGGCTCAGTATTTAGGTGCAATTGAATCAATACTTGATGAAAAATGTGAGGTAAAGACAATGATAAGTATAAAACAGAAACAAATATTATTAAACAAGCTCCGAGTGCTAAATGCAGTGCATTGTGAAAGCATTCCGGCCCTCCTTAAGTTTTCAACCATTTGCCACATTTCAGGCTTGAAACATAAATATATAAAATTGTAATTCTTTGTGAAGAATCAACAAAAAGTGGGACACCATAATGAAGTGGAACGAAATTTGTTGGATATTTTAAACTTTTTTAAGAATTAAAAAAAACTGAAGGCAGGGGTGTTTACTGTCAGTGCCGCAAACTCTCTCCAGACGTTCAGTGAGGATCTCTGAATGATACAATGTTGACCTAATTGACTGATAATGATCAATAAAATCCACTTGAGTGGAATTAAGTCTCTGTATAAATGCACCTGATCTGTTTTTGTCTCAGAGGTCTGTTTAAAGCGCAGAGAGCATCATGAAGAACAATGATCACAACAGGCAGTTCTGAGGTAATGTAGCGAAGTTTAAAGCCAGAATTGAAATCAAAAAGAATTTGTCATTTTAAATACTTCAAGGAAGTAATAATAT